GTCCCGGCAGGACTTGTTTATCTTCTTTATCTTAGCATTGCCATCAAGAGGAGTTTGAAAATGTTAAACGTACGACGTTGGAGTCCGATTAAAAATCTTGCTTTGCTCCTATGGTTTCTTCAGCGTGCAGTCGATAAATAATATAGCAGTAGCCCACATAGCATGACACCGTCCCTTCCTCTTGCTCTTCACAAAGACTGGACTCTGGTGTGTCTGTTTATGGATTAGTGGAAACAACTGTATGGAGTGGCTTTTACTTTTGTGCAAGACACAGTTCCTCTTTGGTGGCAGAAGAGTGTGGGTCTCCTAATGCACACCACCCCCGCCCCCAATGCCCCTCCAACACTGCAGCTTTCCTTTAGTCTTTTCACCAAAGAACCTGTTGTGCCAGTTTGGAACCTGCTTTCAACAGGTCCAGAGAGACTGTGCATTAAGGCACTACCGCCTGGGTTATGGCTCCCAGTGCCAGGGGACTCAGCGCTCGCGCCCCCCCTTCTGTCTTTTTGCAGGTGTGTCTGACCTGCTGCTCCAGGGATGTCATCGTGAAAGTGGACCAGATCTGTCACAAAAACAGCATCAAGTTCTTCACAGGAGACGTTTTCGGCTACCACGGATACACATTTGCCAATCTGGGAGAGCACGAGTTTGTAGAGTGAGTGTTGCCTGGCCTGGCAAGGGGCAAACAGCGCATTTCCAGAATTTAGTTGTACTTGCTTGAGAGGGAAGTATGCAGATGGTTCTACTTCGTGGTTGTGGGAGGCATGGGCCCTGCTCGCCAGTGTTGATTTGATCTGAAAGTCAGCCCAGCATACGGCCAGCAGACTTCACAAACCATTCCAGTTGCACAGTGGGTGTTTGATCCAGCTGGGCCCCAGGGGTTGAAGCCCAGGTGAGGTGGACTGGGGAGATTGTAAGCAATCCAGCTGTGGACAGCCTGTTTTCAGATTGAGAGACTAACCCCAGTACAAAATAGGTAACCCCGGTTGGAGCCACAGGCTGGCCCAGCCAAGTGCTGGTGGAACAAGCAGACCTTCCTGCCCTGGACACTGAGGTTGCAGACCATTGTGTGTAGTTCTCACATGATGGGGCCTGCCCGCAGTGTGTTTGGATTTGTAGCTTCTACATGAAAGATGGCAGAGGATGCAGGATTGTAAAACTATAGGTTGGTTTTGGCTGCGATTTCTGTCCTGTTGTGGGCCCCACCCCACCCCCACACAGGAGGAGGTAAAGAGAGGCCCTCTGTGGTGGGAGGAGGCAAGCGCAGTCCTCTTTTGTTCAGCCTCTCAGACAAGTCACCTCATTGCTTTGGGCCACAAGTGTCTTGCCTGTGAAAGCAAGAGCTCCTGCAGCCTACTGTGGTTTTAGAAAAATCCAGTTCTTCGAGCACATTCTAAACAGATACAGGCAGCCTAGTAGGGGAAGCACGCCAGCTTGTTTTCACTTGCATCTCCCCATGGCAGGGAGGAAGAGTGGCAGCTGGCTGCTTCCTTGTGAAGCAGGCCTGGCCTACCCAGAGTAGGGCTCCACAGGAAGATGGGGGCTTTTAATGATTCCAGTCGAGTTTTTTATAAAATAAATACTTCCATTTATTGAGAGCCCCCGATGTGCTAGGCCATGTGCTGGGTAACCGGTCCTTTCTCATCTTTTCATAGTAATCCTGTCATGGGGCTGTGGTTCCCTCAGAGCTGTGTCTGGCTGGCTCACTGAGTCCCAGAGCAGGGGTGTGAACTCCCTCTCTAGCTGCCCCTGCCTCTAACCAGCCTCTTCTGTGAGTGGATGCTGCTGCTTCCTGCTCTCGTTATTTTGATGGCCTGGTTCTTGGGCTAGCCCACCCTGCCGTTCTGTCACACACACACCCCCCTCCCCAGGGAGAAGACCAAAGCTGCCAAAGTTAGTCAAGGAGTTGAAGATGGGCCTGATACCAAGAGAGCCAAACTTGATCCGTCAGAGACAACTATGGTCAAAAAGGTATGTGCTTTTACCCAGCCAGATTGTTTCTGGGCAGTGCCTACAAAGTCTGTGGGGGTCAGAGGTCAGAGACCCTTGGGCCCTGTGGGGAGCAGGCAATTACGATGGTAAATAAGCCAGAGCTGGCCTAGAGAGGAATCTGGACAGACTGGGCCAGTGCTCCCCCTTTAACTCAAGGGGGCGCTGAGCATCAGCCAGCTGTTACCTGGAGGAATTGGACTCCCAAGACGCCGGATGTGTTTCTTCCAGAGAAGTCTGAAATGCAGGCCTTCCGTGTGCTCTCTCCCAAATACCCGTATCCTGGCAACCCCTTCAAATTGACTTAGCCGCTGGAGGGCCAGCGCCAGCGAACCAGCCAGCATCTCTCTACACGGCTCTTTGGGTCTGTGGTCCATCAGTTC